TTGAGTTCCAACTACTATCTTTACATTGGTAGCAGAGAAGTCAACTATTGATCCAATTTAAACCTTGGTGGGTTACTTTGCATACTTCTTGGATTGTAAAACCACTGTGGAAACATCTGACTCACACTTTGTGAATAGCTTACAAACTGATTTCTTGGCTTCCTTTTCCACTTTTGTTCTTCCAAGGATCCCATATGATGGAGTCATTAAAAAAAACAAGACTGCTAATCATTATATTGATGGTTTATGCTGAACAGCCACTCAACTGGAAAAAAAATGGGAAAGTGCACTTCTGTAAATATACAGCTTTGCATACATATGGGCTGTTTCACTCTGCCCTGAAGGTTTGCTATGAGTTGGGGTTGACTTGATGGTAGTAGGTTTGATATCTGGTTTGCTTCTGTTCATTCAAGAAGTCCTGGTGGTACAGTAGTTAAGCGCATGACTGCTAACTAAATAAATTCAAACACTGCAGTCACTCTGCTGAATAAAGAGGTGATAATATTTGAAACCCTAGGAGATAATTCCATCTTTATAAGACTGCTATGAATTGTAATCAGTGTTGTTGTTGCTCTTGTAATGTGTCGTTGAGTTCCCAATGATTCACAGCGACCTTGTGTACAACAGCTCTGAAGTCTGCCCTGTCCTGAACCAGTCTCACTGACTCCTGCTCCCATTGCCCCAGCTACTGTATCAATCCATCTCATCTGTGGTCTTCCTCTCCTATACTGTCCCTCCATCCCTCCAAGCATGATGTCCTTCTCTAAGGACTGGTACCTTCTGGCCACATGCCTAAAGTATGTGAGGTGATGCTTTAAAATCCTAGCCTCCAAGGAGAAACTTGGTTTCACCCTTCTCCAAGACAGACCTATTTGTTTTCTTGTCAGTCCCTGGTATATTCAAGACTCTTCTCCAGCACCACACCTCAAAGGCATCCATTGTTCTTCTATCATCCTTAGTCATTGTCCTGTTCTCTGATGCACAGAAAGTAATTGTGAAGACCATGGCTAGGAACAGGCACACCTTAGTCTCCAGACTGACATTGTTGCTTCTCAGTACTCTGGAAAGGTCCCTAACAGATTTTCCCAGTGCAATTTGTCTTTTGATTTCCTGACTGCTGGTGCCAAGAATGTTGATTGTGGAGCTAAGCGAGCTATAACTGTTAACAACCTCAATCTCTTCTCCATCTATCATGGTGCTACCAATTGGCCTACTGGTGAGAATCTTTGTCTTCTTGATGTTTAGCTTCAGTTCATATTGAATACTACAGTCCTTGATCTACTGCAGCAAGCACTTCAGGGCCCCCTCAGTTTCGGCAAGCAAGGTTGTGTCATCTGCATAGTGATACTGGGCTGATTTTGATGAATTTATTCTCATCATGCCTGTCAGTGTCTTTTTTAATAGGAAATCTTACCACATCATTTACAAACTTAAAATCTGTGATTCCAAATTGATTGAAAGAGAAGGTAAAAGTTTCTTAGACTATCATATAAAGTCTTTCACAGTTCAGTCTCTTCTGCTCTCCCATGACCTGTGCTTCAGCCAAGGTGTGACTTGGTTTTCCAAGTAATAACTTCAAATTCTTTACATGTGTGCCTTATTTTTTTTTGTTTTTTAAATAGTATTTCCTCTAACTAGAATATTTTTCTCTCCTCTGCATTTTCTACTCTGAGTCGACGTTTGACACTTAACTCAAAATTTCTCTCCTCTGTGATATCGTCCCCTCACACCTTTTTTCTACCATTCACAACACCTCATAACTATTTGATAGTGTTTTGATTATTTATTCACTATATGGGTCTACACCTAAATTGAGTACCTATGAAGCAGTTATCTGGAATATTCATCTTGTTTTCTTTTATAACCTGAGTATAATAGAAACCGTGTTTTCTATTATAATCTACATCAATTGGAATAGTACCTGGCACTTAACAAGAAATAATTTATGAAATAAAAGAAGGGATAAATGGAGCCCACACTAAAACCACTTTAGGAGATTTGACATCCATCATTTGGTGGCAAATACTACTTTCCAAAAAGATTCACTGAAGCACAGAACTATTATTCATCTAGAATCAAATATTCAGTGTCTTAAAATGAAGTCTTGAGTTTAAAATTGCAAAGTCAAATTAGTGGTACAGCTGGAACAAGGACCTATAATGTCTGACATTATCATAATAGTGGACTTGCTGTCCAGAAACTCTCAGTGCTGCTTAGATAAGAGCTGAATTTATGGAATCTATTTACATTGCAATTTTAAGAGTGACTGCAGAATTTTACTGAATTTCTTTTTGATGTTTTACAATAAGATTTTTCTACTTCCTATTGTTATGTATTAATTATATGATTTTATTTCCTCATATTAAACTATCCTTACATTCCTAGACTATGCTTTCTTTCGCCAAGAACTTAATCTTGTCATAAGATTCTGTTATATTTGATAACATTTCATCTATATTTTTTGCAATTATCTTAACAAGGTTAATGGGTGTGTCTGTTGTTTACATGTAAATATTTATATCATTTGAAATAAGCCATAGCATTTAATATAGGTTAATTAGGAATTTCTCAAGATTCTACTAGTAAATCAGCAATCATTATAATTAACATTATATATATATTTGTTGTATATATATATATTTGTTGTATATATATATATACTCATTGAGTCAGAACCAATGCATACCTGACCCTCCCGTGGGTTTTCAGAAGCACTTAATTGCGCAGGGAGGAGATTGTCCATCTTTCTCCCTCAAAGATGCTGGTGGATTCAAACCAGGTGCATACAGGATCCTAGCACATCTTCTTGCTAATAGGCCATCAGAACTCCCTAGGAGTGCTCTCATCTAGTGGCTAGATAGCTGTATTGTCAATCAGAGGTAAATGGTTCATATGCACTAGTTATCCTGTGGGGAAAAGATGGGCAGTGATCTCCTGTGCCATTTATAGCTTCTTAACCACCCCCCCCCCCAACACACACACACATTTGGCTATGAGTCGATTCTGAGTGGGCGGAAATTAGTGAGTTATAGAATTTAATGTCATTTCATGTCATTTCTGTTTATTAGTAATAATTATTAGCCCTATCTTACTGCTGAATGACTAATACAGAGAGTAGACATGATGGCATAGATAGTAAATGGTAGAGTCAGAATTTGAATTCAGGAATTCTGACTTCAGCATCTAAGCTCTTCATTATCATACTGTGTTATGAAGGCACCTGTGTGCATCTCTGCACATCCAGTCAACTAAGTAAGTACCTCACTTGAAAATTTCTTGATGTGTCCCGGACTGGTCTCTTGCCTGGAGCACTAGATTATGACACTGCTGACTGGTGGGGCCCTGTCCCCTCCAACTGGAGCACCCTGTCCTGCTGCCTGAACCCCTGAACACAACTGAAGGACCTAATCTGGTTGTGGGGACACTCCCATCTGCTGACTGGAAGCCCGCTTTCCTGGAAGTGCTGGCCCTGCTGCCTGGAAATCCCACCTCTCCCACCCAGAATCCCCACCCACTGCCCAGAAATCCCACCTTGACGCCTGAAAGTCCCACCCCTCACACCTGGAAGTCCTGCTTGCACCACTAGGAGAGCCGGGACCACTATTTTGAAGACCTGATTCCACAGCCTGGATGCCCCAACCCCAATACCTATAGCACTACCCATTGCCACCCCTCTGGACTGCACCAGAGACATGAGTATCACAGTTGAATTCATTTAATTTCATTTCCTCCAGCCAACCCCAAAATGTGAGCTGCCTTTATTAGCACAGAGCATCTTGAATTGGCCTAGCTGCAGCAGTTGTCTGACTGAGGAGGCTGCTAATTCAAAGGGCTTTTTTCTTTCAATCTGAAGCAAGTCTTTCTTTCAGCCAAAAGTTCAGAGAGAAACCCAGGCAGTGTAGCTGCCCCATCCTCCCCTGGAGCAGTGATATCAGACCAAGAGCCAGCTATAGTCTCAGGCATGAAAAACTTTACCACAGCAATGTCACATAAGAAACAGGCTATCTCACAACCTACACAAGCCCAAAGCAAGATGTCACCCCCAAAAAGTGACACAGAATCAATGGATTTCCTGAAGCCAGAAAGTCTGATGGAACTTTCTGACACAGAATTTAAAAGAACAATGATTGAATATTTTCAATGAGTAAAAGACAAATTTGAAGAATTACAGGACACTGCAAGCAAAAAGCAAGAAGAGCTAAAAAAAAAAACCAATCCAAAACAATGCAGATAAAACAAACAAGGTTTTAGAGGCTTTGGAAAAACAAGAAACCACGATCTAGAATATGAGGACCAATGTTTCAGATGCTTTCAACAAGTTGGAGGAACACATGAACAGAGTTGAAGAGATGGAAGAACAGCATTGCAGGAAATAATGAGAGAGGTCCTTCTTATAGGGGTGCCACAGAAAACAGAATGGACCAAAGTAACCAGCAAGAACATCAAAAAGAACTCAACATATGATAGTAATAAAACCTTGCCTCTCAGTAATTACACTGTATACTGTGTTACCAAGAAGATATGCAAGGGGGAAAAAATTGTAGGGATTATTTGTTTGAAGATATACCCTGACATGTTGTTTTATACCATAGAGTTAGAACTGATCTGTAACTGACACTCTGCTGGGTTTTCAGAGGCAGTTAATTATAGGAAAGGAGATTGCCCATCTTTCTTCCACGTAGCAGCTGGTGACCTCAAACCATGTGCCTTTGAGAGTGCAGTGCAGCTTCTTGCCACTAGGCCACCAGAGCTCCTGTTGCCAAGAAGATATGCAAGGAAAAATTCTAGGGATTATTTGTTCAAAGATAGAATGTGACGTAGTCATTGTTAATTAATTATGACTCTTTAAATATTACAGAATTTGTGGGAGAAATACCATAGCTAAATATCTTCTAGTAGTTTAAAGACATAGATTGGAGAATAATGGCATTTAATTATTAAAAAACCATGGTATTAATGATATTGCCAAAGCAATAATATCTTTTTATTCTTCCTTTCAGCAATCTTGACACAGAGGAATTATGTGGTAAGTTCATTTCAAGACTAAACCTATTACTTGTTTTAGAGTAAAAAATACTACCTGACATATTTCAGCATACTTAGGAATAAACGTCATAGGTTAGGAATTCTGGAATGAAGTGAAAGATAAATTGAAATCTCAAGAGATGTCTTTTTATCTGTGAATTTTGCTCAAACACCTATTCCATTGCCTCGCTGCAGAAAGAGTTGGGCCTCATTAATTTGTTCATGGGAGGAGAATTGTTATTAAAATTGGTACATTAATTTCACAAGAGCAAATTCTCTGCTAATTTGGCTATATTTTTAAGTCAGTGTTTAATAAAACTTCATTATTCTCTTCACAATATATTGTTCACCGACTTTTGTTACTGTTTGGCAAAGCTGTCTTCTTGAAGTGTAAAAATAACTTTGTTCCATACCTGCCTACACCATCCTAGCTTTTTAAATGTCACTTGCAAAACACATGATGGAGTGAAAAAAAGATAAATTTATATTTGATGTGATAAGGTAAATGCATGGTTTGATGACCTATCCATTTATTTTCTCCATATCTGTGATTGGAAATAAAAGTAAAAATATCTTAGAATGTGAAAAGGTAAATATTTCTGATATAGATTTTTTTATATAAAAATATAGATCATATGAGAATATGCAATTTGAAATAGTAATATTTTTTTGAATACAGGTTATTATTGCTGTGATACTGAACGCTGTGCCATTGGTCTGTCAAGTGCCATAATGGTTACACATGGTTGACAATATCTAGCTAACAGATTAAGACAGGCTTGGAAGCAGGAGTGGCATCCACTTCCTAAATATGTCTGGGGAAACTCTATAAACTCAAAGAAAGGACAATAGTTATAGAACAAAATTAACGTCTTTTGTGGCACTTAACAACAACAACAATATAGTATGTGTGTGTGTGTGTGTGTGTGTGTGTGAGAGAGATAGAGAGAGACAGAGAGAGACAGAGAGACAAAGACAGAGAGAGAGAAATTTATAAAATTTATACTTAGAATTAGCCAGCTGGATTCAGTTTAGATGATCCCAATTTTGTAGGCAACATCCAAAGCATCATAGTCAGGAGCAAGTCAAACATAGGGTTTCTTCTCTCCATCAGGCCTAATCAAAGTGTTTACCTTAGCTACATCAATGTCATAGAGCTTCTTTAAAGCTTGTTTAGTTTGGTGCTTGTTGGCCTTGACATCCACAATGAACACAAGTGTGTTGTTATCTTCTATCTTCTTCATGGCTGACTCATTTGTCAGGTGAATTTGATGATAGCATAGTGGTCAAACTTGTTTCTCCTGGGGGCGCTCTTCCAGTAGTATTTAGGCTGCCTTTGGAGTCTCAGCATCTTAGGCTGCCGGAAGGTGGGTGAGGTGTGGATCTTCTTTTTCTTTTGGCTGTGGATGCCCTTCAGGACTACATTCTTGGCCTTTAATGCCTTTGCTTTGGCTTCAGTTTTGGGAGGGGCAGGAGCTGTCTTCTTTGCTTTCATCACTATCTTCATAGAAAAGCAACAATAATATATATTGCAAAGCCCTTGTCTTCCATTTTGGACTTCCATTGGCTTGATGCTGTATGATGGTACTCTTGTTTTGGTTGAGGGTCTGTGTAGATTGTTTTCTTTATTTAAGCCTTGTGTTTAGAGTCAATAAGACCTCCAGGAGGACACTTGAATTTAAGGCCAAGGCCTTATCTGCATCTTGGAAATTGGGTGGAGTGACTAGACTTTGTAAGATGAGCTCTCTTGTTTTGGTGGAGGGTCATTGTGGAATGTTTGTGTGTTTTTAGGTTTTTTTATCTTGTTTTGTTTTGTTTTGTTTTGTTTTTTTGATGTGCCAAATGTGAGAGTGGTTACCCTTGGTGGACAGTGTTTGTTGAAGCTCCTCTATTTAAACAAGCTTGGAAGCAGGAGTGGCATCCACTTCTGGAGTAGCTTGTCTCTGGAAACCCTATGAACTTGAAGAAAAGTTGGTAATTATACAAGTGTTCAGGTCTTTCATTCATAAAGTCATGAGTCATCTGCGACTTATGGCACTTAACAATAACAACAACAGGTTGGATGGAGATAGAGAGCTGTGATCAAATCTACTCTAACTCATTGTGACCTTATTCACAGTAGAATGGAACTTGACCCAAGGCTACCTCATCCTTGTGGTCACTGATGTGTCTGAACCCATCACTGCAGTTTTGGGGTCAGTCCATCTTACTGAGGCATTCTCTCGAACTTTTTAGGCTAACATGATATCTTTTTCTAACAGTGGATCACTTCTGATGACATGACAAAAACATGCAAGTCAGACAGTTCTCTTGCTGTGATCCAGAGACTTTCATCACTTAATTTTATGAAGTAGATCATTACTAAATCTTTCTCCCTAGTTAGAACCTCTGCTGAAACCTGTCCACTATGAATATAAATACTTAGTGATATACCACCCAGCATAATAGCATCATACAAACCACCAAAGTATAAATTGATAGACACATAACTTTGAAGGTTTTTTAAATTGTTGTGTTTTAAAGTATATATGTAAGGTATGAATATAACCTTATTGTCTAGGTTACTTGAAAGAATTTTGATGATTAGAGACAAGTTTCTCTGAAATCTTCTAATTAAAACCACCAGCATTCAATTATTACCTACTTTTTATAGAGTTAATAATATTTAGGAATAGTTGTCTTCTATTTGATCAGAACAGTAGAATAATACCAATAGATGTTATTCAGGTAATATATCCAAATAGAGAATTTCAAGGCAGTAGTAACTTTGAACAAAACTAATATGATAAGTACCAATCATGAGTCTTCAAATTTCCCTGTGGTTATAAGCATGCTGTTGTCCTCTTATTACATAGCATTCATCCTAGGCTTAAAAAAGAAGAATTCTATTGAAAAATAAACTTTATAAAATTTAGCAGCAAGGTATTTTGGTGCCAGAGCAGACCAGGAGTTTGTTAGTTATGAAATACAAGTAGTGAATAACAGGGAAAACCTAATGTGCCTTCACATATAGTTAAGTCACAGCATCATCCACCTATAGATATTCAGCTATACTAAGAGACCAACGACCATTCATTCATCAGTCAGTTTTTTCATACTGTAGTAGATTATCTGATGCTAGAAGCTATGGAGCTCTGGTGGCCTAGTGGCAAGAAGCTGCACTGAAGTCCCAGAGTCACATGGTTCGAGGCCACCAGCTGCTCCACTGGAGAAGGATGGGCAGTCTCTTTCCATATGATTAACTGCTTCTGAAAACCAACTAGACAGTCAGCTGTGGGTTGGTTCCAGCACCATGGTATACA